CTAGCGAAAAGGTACATTAACAATAATAACAAATAGATGAATAATCTTGCGCAACTCATCTTTTATCTTGGTAGGGGTATAGTCCATAGGAAGGAAGCTCCTTTGACTTGGAGGAATTAGATTCTCATTGCATGTAACAAAATAAACATCTCCATCAAGATCAATTCCGGATGTCTCATTTGACTGAGGTCTATCTCATTTCTGCGGAAACACTAAGCAATCAACAAGATGATGCAAATCAGGCACATCACTTGCTTCTAAAACTCGAATACCGCCAGGGTGGATGCAAGGATTCTTTGCTATAGTACCATACCTACCACAACTTGTTTGTTATTTTTAATTCCGAAAATATGGATCTATGCCTTAAGAAGCAGTTTTCCAAATAAGAAAAAATGCATAGATGTAGCACTCCCCGTGTTTGAAGACTTAAAGTTCATTGAGGCAACCTATCAACTACCTTTTTGGTACAAAGATCCTTACTTTTGAGGAAAGGTATTACAACTATGATAACCTAATGCACCAAAGCATTGCGTTCAAATGATGCTCTGTCTGAGGAGTAATCTAGCATTCAACATCATTGGTGCAACATTCCCTTGCTCAGTGCATGATGTTGTAAGCACATTAAATTCAATCTTTGGGTCTACTACAACTTGTCAAGCTATTTAAACATTAAATATTGCATTCGTGAAAACACGTCATTAGGCACATTTAGTGCTGAAAGCAAGGTCACAATTTGACGATTTAAAAAAATAGGGTTGAAACCTAGTCCAAGTTACAACATTTAATACTAAGCACGAAGACTGAAACTTGTTCATGCTTGGCCTAAGTAATAATAGAATCCCATCATTGTCTCCAGGCCAAACAACCACAACACCTACACAACAAAATGGGTGCGATAAGAAGAAGGGGATTTTCTATCAATTGCAACTTCTCGGCAACTTTTATTTCATGTTTGGGGGTAATTTTTCCAATCCCATCGGAGGAGCAATAACTATAGCTATCTTTATCTGGGAGTACTAGACTAACTTTATCAGGAGGCACAATGACATCAGTCTAAGTGGTTGAAAATGCAAGCCCTGTTCTTGCTGCACACTTAGGCACATTTTTGTTATGAAATTTCCCCATCCAACTTTTCCTATCACAAACTCTTGTTTCCTCATTGTTAATGAAGAACCAAGCAGGTTGATTTTTCAACCGGTTCTATGATAAAGCAAGAAACGAATACTTACGGATACATAAGTGAAACTCATTGCTCATTATGTTTCTTACTCTTTGGAATATGGTTTGTCTTTTCACTGAACGAATTGTTTGTGGTTTTCTTAGTAATGGGTGCAAGGTAAAAGGTAAGGACATGGCTATTCAATGTATGTATTCCTTCATCCATAAATGTTACTCTCAAGAACCTAACTAAATATCTCAGTATCTTCTTAAAACCCTGTTGGCAAGCTCAATCTCAGGAGGAAGACTATAAGCTTTAACCAAGGTTATAATCAATCTCCACGCCTCCACCATATTAACATCAGAAGCATAGATGTCATGAGTCTGAGGGAAATTTGAGAGCTAATCTTGGGCCATCTTCAGTCTCCCATAAGCATCAAATATTAGTTTCTTGTACCCATTAATGTGTCTAAGGGAACATCATTCACTATCTCACTTTTTCCTCTAAATAATCCAAAGAATTCATCAGACAATCAATGTTGGTTTAAGATACCTTTGTGAACTGAGCATTCACTATGAACATATTTTTAAAGCTAACCCCATCTTTATATTGAAAACTGGAGGAGTCTGAAGAGCTCCATCGCGAGCATTCACCATGAACATATTTTTGAAGGTAACGTCTTATTTAATTGAGAACTGAAGCAAGTGTCTGAAGAGCTCCAACCCGAGCTAACCTCATCCTTAAACGAGATGGGCCACACCACGCCCAAGGAAATATTATAACTCAAAGCATCCTTCAAATTTTCTTTTGTATCTTGGTTTGAAGAAAAATTTATAACAATTGTATTGGCCAATCGTCCCATTAAGGGTAAAACCTGTAGTTCGAATCCAATGATCATCATCATCTACAAAATCAGTCTTGTAGTAATCAACGGTGCCGATCGAAGACCCCATTGCAACAAAACCACATTTACCACTATCCTCTATAAACTTTAGCGCCATAACATCCTTGAGCAAAAACTCTAGCTTAAAATCACACTTGACGAACTCTACTTCCCTTGTGCATTTCGCCATGAAAACGACTTTTCGAGAGAACAATAGACTACAAGTATTATCTAAAAGCTTAACAAGAAACTTATTAATCGAATTGTGTTCTGGGTTGAGTTGCTAAGTGGTACAGAACTCATCCGGGTTTAAGAGTGATCCAATCTCAAATTGCACATCACGGAATATGAAAGGACTAATTTCTCTGTGGCGGTTGATTTTGAATGACAAATCCCTACTTAGAGCGAAGATGAGTTTCTCTCTGATGAGGAGAACGTCGCATCATCTAAAGCATGCCTAGGCATCACTAGAGTAGATGGATTGAAGGAAAGAGTGTGGGATGAAGACGAGCTCTTTTCAGTGTTTTTGGACTTTGGAAAGTTGAATTTAGGGTAAGAGTCCAGTGGGTTAAGTTTTTTTAAGCAACTTTGCCAGATGGAGCATATGAGAGAATTTTTGAGAGATTTAAGGATGTCTTTGGCTTGATTTGAACATCAAAACTGGCGATGTGAACTTGAGAGCTATCGACGGTGAGAGAGTCCATTGAGGGGATGATATTGGTTTGAGAGGGGGAAAATATATATATATAATATATATATATATATATTGAGAGAGAGAGAGAGAGAGCCAGTGCGGCAATGAAGGCACCCTTAAGGAAGATCTGCAGCCTAAGGACGAGATATTATAAGGAACACATGACAAACTAGAATGAGACTTTCTGGAGAAAGTGCTCAATTTCCATGGATTCAAAAATGCTCAATTTCTATGGATTCAACAAGACATGAATAAATATATATATATATATATTGAGAGAGAGAGAGAGAGAGCCAGTGCGGCAATGAAGGCACCCTTAAGGAAGATCTGCAGCCTAAGGACGAGATATTATAAGGAACACATGACAAACTAGAATGAGACTTTCTGGAGAAAGTGCTCAATTTCCATGGATTCAAAAATGCTCAATTTCTATGGATTCAACAAGACATGAATAAACTGGATCTGACAATGTATATCTACTATCTGCTTATCGCTTCTGATTAAAGAGGCCAGCCTAGCCAAGCCAGTAGTTAGGGGGCTTACCACAGGAGAACTAACTATACTAAAGAAAGAAAGACCCTAGAGTGAGGTTCGTTGAAGATTCTCGATGGTTGCATTCCTTTCTTTTCTTTTAGTGGTCTCTTCAAATAAAAAAAAGTCTTGGATTGGAGTCTTAAGTAGAGAAATCTCTATCAAGTATCAATCTTGCCAGCTTTATGTCCGGGATGTCTCGTTCTTGGAGTGATATCGTTCTAGATTTCACCCTCTTTGTCGTGGTTTTGTCCCTTCCTTCTTGGAGAGAGAGAGAGGGGGGGGGGATGATACCGGAAGATTATACTGATTTGATTTGAGAGAGACGAGGAAATTTTGAGTTATGGGAGTTGTTGAGTTACGAGAAAGAAGTTGTGCACAGAGAAGCGGGACAAAGGGGTATGAGTTGTTAATTCAATGTTCATTTTGCTCTTTCTGGGTTTATACAAAAACTTTTTTTTTTTCAAAACTATATTTTTAGAAAATATTTTTGGTAGACATTTTTAAAATATATTTTTTAGATAATATTTTTTGAAAATTAAGTTTGAAGAAAATATTTTTATCATTTTTTTTGAAATTTTATGGACAATAATATTTTTTTTAAATGCAAAAAATGATTTTTTTCTAATCTTTTCAAAAAATATTCTTTCAATAATATTTTGTCAAAGATATTTTTTTATTAAGTATTTATTTGAAGGCTTGCTTTCAAGAAAAATAATTCTAGAATCATATATCTTGGTAATGGTAGGATATCATTAGCTAGAGGCCTTTTCTATAAGGTTCTTTTGTAGCATTAATTATATGTATTTATGCTATTTCCTCTCTTGTCTTTGATCTTATTTTTTTTGTTTTAGTGACTACGGTCTTAATTCATCGAACATTAGAGAAATTAGCTCTTTTACCTATTCTTGTGATTGTTTATCTATACAAAAAACATCGTTAAGCAAAAACTGATTCACATGGGCAAATGGGTTGAGAAATGCTAGCATAATGCTATGGGTTTGAAAAGTATACTAGTACTTAGTCAATTAAGATTGCATCAAAGCCTTTTCTTTAGAAATGGAACAGGATTAGCGCCAGAAAAAAGCTAGGAAAGCTCAAAGCTCAGAAGATAAAAAAATTGTCCAAGATCATTCGACAGTTAAATGAACCAAGTTTGAAATTAAATCTAAACTCAGTAAAATAATAAACCAAAATGAACAGCATGTTCTAGCTCATTCATTTGAGGGCTTATGATGGCTTAGACTCGATTCATGATTAAGCTCTGTTTGATTAAGTTTGAATAAAGGTGCGATCTCTATCTGGTACACTAAGTGAATCTAGACCTTTTTCATTTCTTATTGGTATCTTTAAACGACCGCGTTCTCTCATGCTCTTCACCTAGGATAGAAACTGAATTGAGTTTGGAACGAGCTTCAAACTTGAGATCAGACGAATAACTCAAATTTCTAGTAAATGAACCAAGACAACGAAACGGGCAAGATGACTGAGCTTTAGTGAATTTGTGCCAAGCCCGAACATGTTTTTAAAGAGCCTGAGCGTGATTATGCTGATGCTCGAGTAGTCCATCTCAATTAACATTTGTAAGCTGACCTTATAGACTTTGATTATGAAATGTATTAGCATTACTTATAAGCTGATGCAAGAGTAAGGCACAGAACATTCATGTTACGTGTTGATTTTGAAATGGGTATTTATTTTTCTTATACTTTTTTCCTGATGAATGACTGCAGATGGCTGAATATTTTAACAGAAAAGCTCTTCTACTAGGAAATGTTCCCCTTGGGAGTTTCAATTCTGCATTTAGCTTTAGTGGTTCCAAGAAAATAGATGCAGCAGCTACAAAAAGTCTTGCAATGTATGGAATGGTCATTCCTTTATGTAAAGTTCAGCTTGTTAAACAGCCTTCTTCATTACAAGAAGATGTTAGGCGTGCTGTACCACTTACATGGGAACCATCTTCCTTAGCAAGGTACTTCAGTATATTCAGTAACAAGTTGCATGTTCTAGGACGCAACATATTCTTAACTGTTTTGTTTTCTTCTTACAGATTTATAGAAAATTATGGAACTCATGTTATCACGTCCGTTACTATTGGCGGAAAGGATGCAATTTATGTTAAGCAGCATAAATCATCGCCCTTGTCAACCATAGAGATAAAAAGTTACATTCAGGATATCGGAGATCAGAGATTTTCTGATAGCGAAAGTCATACCAGTTCAGGTCCAATGAAATTGAAGGACAAGGCTAGTGCTTCATAGTTTCCTTGATGTTTATCTTTATATTTCTTGTTCGTCTTGTTGGTTTGTGTCCCTTAAGCTTTTTTTACTTTCATGTGCTTTTCCAGGCTGTAGATCCTTTTTCATTTAACAGTCAAGGGGTATATCCACAACCACCTAGTGCTCCCTATCTTAATGCAAAAGAGGTGCCTACACATCTTCATATTGTTCTTTATTCCTGCTATAAGTTCTGAAATTTTCTCTTGATGTATGACCGTATTCTTTTCCATTATTACGATACTCATGAGCATTGACTTGTTGGTGTCTGTTATTTACTATAACATGAATATGGATAGATTATGTCTACTGCCTTTAAACATTTATTGATTTGACTCAAATTGTTGCTTTATCTTATGTATTCTCTTGAAGGGTACATCTTTTTATTTGTTTATTTTATAAAGCTTTACCAGTCACGTAAATTTTTAGCAATAATTCAGTTATCTGGCTGTTTCCTTGGTTCCTGGAGAGCTCATACAGCAAGCAGCTGACAGAATATTGAGTAATATCTGATGCCAGGATAGCAGTTACATAATTCATGATTGTGTAAATGACTGATGATTCTCATATTAGAAATTTTAATAAGAAAATCCAAAACCGTAATCTGGCTATGAGCAAGGTAGAAATCTCACTCTTCTATTAGTAGTATAAAGTTGAATTCAGGACTTCCATCCTTTAAAAAAGAAAATAACAGTAATATGTGCTTTTAGCTGATTTTTTGCTTGTCTTATGAATTATGTGACTCTATGAATTGTATGTTATGGTTTCAAAACTTTCTCTCTTTATCTTTTTAGGGCTTGGAATTAGCTAGAAAGAAACATGTGCTTGCCATGCTTGAAAGTTTCAATGCTTTCAAGTCTATTGTTATAGATAGCAATGCAGGGGGGAAAATGGGAGGAGAGGGAGAGCATCTCCTTCATAGCTTCTATGAAAATTCAATGCTTGAAAGTTTCAATGCTTGAAAGTCTATTGTTATAGATAGCAATGCAGGGAAAAAAATGGGAGGAGAGGGAGAGCATCTCCTTCATAGCTTCTATGAAAATTCAATGTCATTGACATTTCAAACAGATGACTGGATTGATATTTTGCAAAAAAGTATAAGGAAGCATATGATATCGGAGATATACTTATGCCTGATATTCTGACTTCACTGTATATACCTTTGGTTTTTTCTTCATCCTATCAAGATGGTTGGGAATGTTCAAAGGTTTCTTATTGTTCCAATGATTAATGGTGGATGTTAAATGGATTTTTTGTGCTTGAGCTTTTCCAAATGTGCTTCCTTTCCATTATTGGTTTGTATTGGCTACGAACCTATGGTTGAATGTAGTTCCCTGTGGCAAAACCTATCTTATTTCGTTGTATAATTTTTTTCTACTCTAGGATATGTAGAGAGGTTCCTGGTTGCAAACTGGAAAAATCAAATTTTAAGTGGGTAACATGCTTTTGGGTACTTTCCCGAAGGCTTAGGATTCAGCGAGAAGAAAAAACCAATCTAAGAATTTGTCTAATTCTTGAGATATTATAAAGAACCAAAAGCTGCCTACAGAAGAGCACTGCATTTAACTTTGTTGGATACTCAATGTATTTGCTGTCTGGGTGTTTTTATCACTTAAAGATTTGTAGAACATATGGTCTGGTTGGACCTCGTCTTGTTCATTTCAATTTGTTTTTAAATAAATGCTCTGTTTGAACTTGCTTCATAATTTTGTATGTTATAGTAGAAAAATTTCTACGATCTGGGATTTCTTAGCTTGACCCTTCTAAAGACCTGTTTGGATTGTGGGATTAATGGTGGAGTTAGTGGTAACTCCATCCTAACCCCTCCAAAATCCTAAAAAGAGTGATCCGAATCAAGAAAGCAGTCAAGTTTTTGAAAAATGTACCACCTATGAGCGCCCTGCCTTGGTCCCTTAACCATTAGGTGATAGAGGTGCAGCTAACTCATGTTTTATTGGAATAGCAACTCTTCTCTGCATTACATCTGCAGACTCCAAATACCAGATGTAAGCAGAGCAAGCAACAATTGATTAACTCCATACATGACTGTCAAGAGCTAATAACAGCTACTCCTTAACCCATTAGCTGTTCTGTCAAATCTCAGGGTACATGTACCCCATCTTTCTTCTACACCAACCCTACTAAAATAAATTAGAAATATAATATGAAAGCATATTGACAATGCTAAATTTAGTAGAGTTATACTAATTTTTTAATTTGCTTCAGGATGTTACAGTTATCTTTAGGAGAAGGGGAGGGGATGATCTCGTCCAAAGCCACAGCCACTGGGCGAAAACCGTCTGTTTTGCTCCTGATGTTATTGAAATGACATTCTTACCAATCACTTCTCTTCTTGATGGCATCCCTGGGAAGGATCATCTCACCCGAGCAATCAATCTTTACCTAGAATGTAGGCATTCTGACGCTTGACTATGAATCTTTTATTGTTGTTGATAATATCTCCGGAGGAAGGAAGTCTTTCATTGACCTTAACCTTTAAGGTAATCTTCTCATTTTACTTTTCTGCAGATAAACCTCCGATTGAGGAGCTGAGATACTTTTTGGAGTTTCAAATCCCTCGGATATGGGCTCCTGTTAGAGAAAACCTTCCAGGACATCAAAGAAAAGACCCAGTTTGTCCCCATATGCAGTTTAGTATAATGGGGCAAAAGCTTTATGTCAGCCAAGAGCAGGTGATCATTTAAGTAACTATTGAGCTTAATGCAGCACCTATTATAATTGAAAAGGATCTCTGCGTATTTTCTTCTGCACCAATTGTTTGATTTCTGAACTATTAACATTTGAGGTGCTATAGGTTATCACGGCACCACCATTGGGGTATTTAACTACTAAGTATATAGATGTTCAGAGTTTACACGTGATGTTAGCCTCCTTTTTTTTTTCTTATTGTTACTAGTCTACTTGTGAAATAAGCTCTTAATGTTACTTGTTCCATAGGTATCAAATATGCGCGCTTGTATGCACAACATGACTATCAAATAATATCACTAAAAGTGAAGAAGGAAACAATGAGTATGAGCTGGCAACTCATTTTGTTAAATGAGCTACCAAGCAATAGGCAACTGGAGAGACCCACCTTGATAGTCACATCCACTGTTTTAAAAAACCTCCGCCTAGTCCGCTTAGGCGTTCGCCTAGGCCTAGACGGTACCTAGGCCGCCTAACTAGCGCCTAGCGCCTAGACGGTATTTAGGCTGTCCACCTAGATTTTACGAGCGTTTAGGGAAGCATTGCTTGCTTACGTGGATTGCACCCTGTAGGCCTTGGTTGTGATTTTATGTGTTGTAGCCTACACATCCTCCAAACTCCATTAACCTCCAAATATGAACACCTCCACTACCTCCTCCGACCTTCAACAAAACCTCATCGATCACCACTTAAATGAAGAAAGAAATCCGCCTAGACACCAATCCGACATCTAAGCTTTCTGTAACATTGACATTCACTATCAATTATTGTAATTAAAAATAAATAAATAAACATCTTAGGCTCTAACCTTGTTAATTATTATTTTGGCTATTTAGTATCTAAGTATGCATGATTTATTGTGGAACTAAAATTACTATCTTTTTTTAAAAATTTATATGAATTTAATACATATTGTAATTTGAGTTGAGATAAACTTATAATTTGAGTTGAGAAGTATAAACATACACAGAGCTATTGTAATTGGTAAACCAAGCAATTTAGTTAATAGTGTTAGTATTTTAGTATATATGCATTTTAGATTGAGTATATATATTTATCTTCAAGTATCACAATTAAAAAAATAAAAAAGAGAAAAAACGCCCAGAAACCGCTTAGGCGCCCGCCTAGGCGACTAAGCGTTGGGCGCCAAGTCCGACGTCTAGAAACGCCCAGCGTTTAATGTAACATTGGTCACATCAAAAGGTGTGGTCCTCAACATCCTATCTCTTGATACCTCATTTAAGAAAATGAGCCGTCTCCTCACAATCATCAAACCCTATAAAGAATGCCAATTACATATTTGTCAAATTAAAATATAGGGGTTGCTTTTTCAAGTCTCAGAACTTAACCATTAACGAATCCAAGACCAGTGACTGATGCATCAAACTATGACAAATGCAGGTTTCAGTTGGGCGTAAGCCCATCACTGGATTAAAACTATGCTTAGAAGGAGCAAAGCAAAATCGATTATGCATCCATGTTCAGCACTTATTATCCCTTCCGAAGATCCTCCAACCATATTGGGACTCTCACATTGGCATAGGAGCACCCAAATGGCACGGGCCTGAGGAACAAGACAGCAGATGGTTTGAGCCTGTAAAATGGAAGAACTTCTCTCATGTGAGCACAGCACCAATCGAGCACAATGAAGCTTTTATTGGAGACCCATCAGGTGTCGGTGTGCATATAGTCACTGGAGCCCAACTTGGTGTTTGGGATTTTGGAACCAAGAATGTGTTGTATATGAAACTCCTCTACAGCAAAGTACCAGGTTGTACTTTGAGGAGATCACTGTGGGATCATAATCCTGGTAGTTCAGGTGAGAAATCAAAGAAATCAATAGGAGCTTCATCGACAACTCCGACTGATTCTAGCTCAGGCTCAAGAGATGCTACAGGGAAGCTTTTGAAGCTTGTAGATATGTCAGAGATGGTTAAAGGTCCAGATGATATTCCCGGACATTGGTTGGTGACTGGAGGAAAGCTTGGAGTTGAGAAGGGGAGGATTGTTTTGAGAGTGAAGTATTCGTTGCTGAATTTCTAGAAGTGCATTAGCTTAGTCTCGGAGAATGTGCAATTGAGCAATGTATAATATGGGGAATAGATAGGGTGTATGAGTATATGATTTGAGAAGGATGGAGTTCTTTTCTCTTCGTTCTGTTTTTTGAGAATGCATCCTTTTCACTCTTTTTAGTAATGGGCATGGTACATAAGCATTGTGCTGTGATGTAGAAACCGCCGAAGGGATTTTTTTTAATGATTAGTTTCCACACTGCATAACTCTGTGGTGTAGATTGTCTTTTGAGGCAGATTTAGAAAATTTAGCTGAGCTGTGGCTATTGAAGCTTCAAATTTTAGTTAACGGTTGTTTTGTGGGAGCAAAGTAGTCAAGGATGAGGAGCGGTTTGATCAGTTTGCAAATCTATTTGAGGCAAAAGTGATGGGAGCTTTTCTTGGTTATAAATTGTTGAAAATGTGAAAGAGGGTTTGTTTGATACTACATCGGGCTCCTCCAAGCCTGCAGGGAGTAGTTCTGTTCTAATTTGCTTCTGTGGGCAAACTTTTTGAAAATTTACCTGAACTATGGCCAGTATAGTAAGTTTGATGCTTGGATTGGTAAAATTTTGCTCGGATTAGTTGAAAAACCTGAAGTATGAACTTGACAAAATTTGTTAACTTGAATAATTAGACAGGCAGAGAGAAGCTCCTTTTGGTTTCCGAATGAGATCAACTTTTAACTTTGGATGTACCGGATTCTATAAAATCTGTACCCCTGTCAAGGGGTAAACGATTGCACTGCATTATATCTTCTTTCAAATGTCTAAGGAACAGAGGCAATACTTATCCACTACAAGTAGCTAATCATTTACTTTCGCGATGGTCAGAATAAACTGTAGCCTTGAAAACATATGAAAGCTTCAATCATATTGTTATTTACGGTTAAGTTATACAAAACATCCATCAGCTATTATTCATTGCTGACCGTATACAAGTCAGGAATCTAAGAATGACACAAGAGCCGTGTCTTTATTTGACCGCAACAACTACAGCAACTCACGAGCAGCCTCAACCCAAGCCTTGTAGATGTCATCTAAAAAGAGAACAAAATGCACCTTCAAGCAGGAAAAAAGCCATGTTATTCACTTTCATTTAACAAGTAACATTTGTATAATCCCACTGAAGAAAAAATAACCAACAAAAAGAATTAAGGCAAAAAAAAAATCATAATATAAACAACTTTAGGTTAATCATTTATAACTAAAACATGATGATAAGCTAAGGCATGTGATTTGCAACGTGGAGCTTTATAAACTCTTGAGCTACATCCTGCAATCTTATGGATGCCATTTCTTCAAGCCACATTGGACTGCCAACTATTATAGTTACTTAACTCTTTAACTTTTCACTTGCAGGAGAATAAAACAACAGTCAGCAAATTACAACTACACCTCTGCTGCACATAAAATGCAATACAGTTTCCAATGACTATTATGCATAATTCTACTTGCATTGTCCCAAATGCTAATGCCAGTTCATGGTTGGTTTGTCAATTGTATTACGCAATAGTCAAGCTAGAGATATAAAGAGGAGTCTTGTGTTGTCTTTGCATCAAAAATTTGGGGCAGAAGTCTCCAGTCTAATTCCAGTTGACCTGTGAGTGCACTTCCTTGCAATAGGTGGACAGGGCGTTTAATTTGCAAGAGGAAAATAGGAGTTGGATAGATAAAAGAGGTACAGAGAAAGTGAGTGGGATAAATAAAGGAGTTGGATAGATAAAGTGACAACATACGTGTTAGCTTATGTTGCAAGGAGTATTACATTCTCTTCTTTCCCATCTTACCTATTTTCCACTACTTTTTTCATTGCTTTTGGCAATTTTTGGGCGACATCATGATTTTCACGATACAACAGGTGATATTTCGGCCTTGCAAAGATCGGCCGAAATGTTGCAATATCGATTTGGACTTTTATTTGTTTCAAAAGATTGGTCAGGATTTATGATTCAATTGAGGTCCAAACCTAAAAAATTATTTGCTTGTGTAAGTAACCAGAAAGAAGAATTAAGCTCAATTGATCAAGCATGAATGTTTATGGTACACAAACTATCCTACATGACACCCAGATATTTATTACATATCTCTAATATGGAAGTTTTCAATCCGAGATGGCGAGATGTCCCCAACATCCTACATTTAGAACTCTGGTCCTGTATCCAACAATAGAACCCTTGTTGCAAAGTAATAACCATATATATGTCACCTAATTCGTATTAGACATTGTGTTATATGAATTGCAGTATAATGAACATTGGTTTATAAAATAATAAAAAAGATATAGCTCATTGTGATATTCAGTAATCAATATTCCAGTTACATGGACTCTGAGATTTGCATCTATCATGTATATGAGAGCCCTCAATTGCTAGGAGCAGTAGTACTAGTTCAAATACAGAGAAATAGTGAGCTATATGTTTTCGAGTTTGAAATAAAAGAATGAGATATGTGACTACAGACGCTTATACAGCTATCATCTATCAAATAAAGTAAATTAATTATGAAGGAAGCCCAAAGCAAACGGTACCTCTTTGAAATCGTTCGCAAACTCCTTAATTGTAGAAATAGCTACTCTGGAGGCTTCATTGTAGGGATAGCTGAAATGTATTATAATTAAATTGCAGGAAAAGGCACGAGAATCCAAGATCTTTGAAATACTCACAAGTAATGTTCTAACTGGCATGTGAAGTTCAACTAGGCAAATAGGTATTAAAACAATTACCCGTAAACACCACAAGATATGGCTGGGAAAGCCATGTACTGGATGTTATTCTCTTTAGCTAGCCTCAAGCTGTTTCTGTAGTTAGAACATTGAGAAAATTTCTTAACAACAGCATCATAATGCGCCAAAAGTATTACATCAGATAGACCATCCAGTGTTGACAAAATGACATCAAGAATTATAATGCTGTACCTGTAAGCATTCCCCAGAGAAACCTCAGGATGGGGATCAACATCATAAATAGGTCCTACAGTGTGTATTACATGAGCAACAGGCAGCCGGAAAGCTCTGTATATTTTCAAGGTTTAAACCAGAGAATGTTTAATTTCATAACTGAAGATTAGGGTCTAAGCGCTAAAAGAATATAATTCAACTACAAACACTAACGGGGTTATCCTTGCTTCTCCAGTGGGACAGCGAACTCCTGGTCGAACCTCCTGGACTTGGGCACAAGCTGCTCGAAGTTCTGGACCAGCAGCTCTGTGTATAGCTGTGATAAATGATAACAATTTAAGGTTATACCGTGTCCAACCATAATGAGTAATATTTCATTAATTACCTCCATCGACGCCACCACCTCCAAGCATTCTCTCATTTGCAGCATTTACCTACAAAAGCACATGTCAAGACAGCTTTTTACAGACACGATAACATGAATACAGATAATAATGAAAGATATCTGTTCAGCTCATATACAAACGGACAAAATAATATCTGAAATTTAAACACAATTTTGCACCCATTGTCTAATGTAAAAGTGATCTTTACTCTGTTAAACAGAAGTCCTGCTACATTATTGAACTGTACATATGCTCTACTTATTACACACTGACAAAAAAATCACAGAACTTGATGACAATTTACGTCTGCAATGATGGCTAGTTTAATAATAAACTGAAAAGGAATAAATGGAGAACCTAATTTCCATACAGTACAGTCCTAATATCCTATGCAAGAAATTTTCATAGAAAGTTAAGATCAGCTTGTCTATAAAAGGGTAAGGGACACCACAAGTTTCCTGTCTTGAAATGCTTATTCTCTTTCTAAAATATATCATCATAAGTGACACCAGATTTTAGTTAGTTGGTGTCCTTCCTTGACAACATCTTTTGCAGTTGCCAAGCTGATCTGACCAGTGCGGAGCCAGGAATTCACAATAGTGGTGTCACAATATATATAAAGACGATATTACTAATTTATTTCTCATATTAATGAAAAAACAATATATTTGTCTATTTTTTCCTTAGTTTCTTGTCTTCTTTCATATTCCACGACCAGGGCCACTTAGGCAAATTCAAAAAAAAATTACTTATCAAAAATGTTTATAGCACTTTAATAATTGGCGAATTGGGCCATTTAAGTTAATAGGTTCTACGTTACTTTACTTTAGGTTTGGCCCATCAACAGTTGTTGGGGTTTGATAATGGGTTATTAGTCTACATATGATTGTGGTGTCGCTTGGCTTTGACAATGGATTATAACTCGCACATATACTTCTTTGAAATTTTGATTTAGGGAGGTGTCACTTGACACCCTCTATTACGTAACTCTGCCCTGGATCTGACCAAGAAGCACCACATTTCAAAACCTTGAACTAATTTAAGTGTGGACTATAGGTTCTACACAATGCCTTTAAACAAGAAACTCATGTTTTTCCTATAGAAGCATGCTAGTTAGATTTGGTTTTGGCAGAAGGAGACAACAGTAGTACAATTGTCATTACGAATGCATTCTCTCAGTAGATGCTTCATGGTTGACAAGTATAAACCAAAATTCTTTTTATGCTCATTTAAGTTGGATTGGCTTTGGCATGTATGGCACACAGTTATACACACACACACACATATACATATAGACATACGTATATATACGTATATACATATGTATGTATGTATGTATGTATATGTGTGTGTGTGTGTGTGTATGAAACGTCTTGTCAAGGAAATTGTGAGTTAAAATCGAAAAATGGCATGCATATCTTCGACAATTTGGCAAAGTGTAAATGGATGACATATCAGAGAGTCAGAGACAGACATGAGACTTACCCTGCAGCACTCGTGATTTATAGCAAATCAAATAAAGTCACCATCTTTAGCAAGCCACAACAGATTTAGGCCCCATTGAGAGCTCGACAAACCATAGCTAAAAAAGCTAACTAATTAGAACATCCTACCAACAATTCCCAATTTATTGCTACACAGACAAATTATATGCCTACATTGGACCAAAAGGTAGTTTTTGATAGAAAAAAGCAATGAAGAATGCTAACTTACTTCGAGTATCTTATATAAATATTTAAAAAGTTGTACTAGTGATATTTACGGTAGGATGTCGACAATTTGGCAAAGTGTAAATGGATGACATATCAGAAACAGTCAGAGACAGACATGGGACTTACCCTGCAGCACTCGTGATTCATAGCAAATCAAAATAAAGTCACCATCTTTAGCAAGCCGCAACAGATTTAGCCCCCATTGAGAGCTCGACAAACCATAGCTAAAAAAGCTAACTAATTAGAACACATCCTACCAACAATTCCCAATTTATTGCTACACAGACAAATTCTATGCCTAAATTGGACAAAAAGTAGTTTTTGATAGAAAAAAACAATGAAGAATGCTAACTTACTTCAAGTATCTTATATAAATATTAAAAATGTTGTACTAGTGATATTTACGGTAGGATGTGGATAAATATAGGATGTCTACAAATTCTCCCCATGGTTGACAAGTGTAAATAAGATTCCTGTAGATGTATGCACAGTCATTCTTTCCACATTATTAGAGAGATCCTATAGGCACATCATCTTTTTGGACTATTTGATAGTAATATCCTTTTATGAACAGAAATATGCATGAAGGATAAAACAGAAATCAATTAAGAAATTGAACAAGAAAGTGGAATTTTGGGCTCAACATGTATTTCCAACCTACTAACTAGCAATTGAAGAAGTTGATATCCATGGAAGTTAAACAAGGATCTGATTCACTGGACTAGCCAAATTAATAGAATCACTTAAAATTCGAAAGCAAACAGATGGAACCACTTGAGAATTCAGGTATGTAACTATTGTAATCTAGTAGATATATGTATATGATATTATAAACCTATCCTAAATTCCATGAAAAATATGCTTTAACAAGGAGTTATGGAGCAAGAAAGAAAGCAAGAAGCCCATTTTAAATATGGGTTTCATGATAACTCTTCACATTATTTGAACACTTCATTGATCCATAGAAAGGTGCTTCTAGAAGCCACAGGCACATCTATCACTGATCAAAATAATCACTCAGGAGGTGAAAAGATAAAGATACGTTTGTCCCATGAAACTATCATATATTGTGTTCTCAGCTTCCCATCAATGGATGATAGTAATCAAGATCAAAGAACTGCTTAACCATCTACATTGATGATGCAGTTTCTTCTCAATAAACAAGGAGCAATTCTTCACTGGTGCTTTGCTAGACGTTTTGCTATCAATCACGATAAAAGTTTGCCCAATTCTTGGCCTATCTTTGTTTTGGACTTTTGGGTCTACGACATGAAAGAGGATGTCAAATATTGATGTAGGGTGCTTAACGGACAATTTCACGGAGGATTCGGAGAATCACGAGCTACATGTATTATTAACTTCCGCAAAGAAACAATCATATTTTCAATCCGGAAGGCGAATTCTGACATATTATATATGTAAATCGCCTATCTCTACGAGACAGAGCCAACCAAATTGTCAAAATTTTAAAATCTCATCAGTAATACCCAGTTTTGGTTGAAATCCGAAAATAATCATCTTTTAGTTTATTTTTAGTAATAAAATTGGAGTCTATTTAGATTAGGAAATAAATTCAATATAGAGTCAAATTAGATTAGGAAATAAATTCAATTTTGATTCATGATTTATTTCCTCTATTATAGGTAGTCTTTTTAGGATAGAGTTTAATACTTTCTATTTCTTTGTAATTCTAGTCTTACTAGGAATCTTATTTATTTTTCTATTTAAGAAGAGTCATGTAACCCCAAAGGATAATATTTTTCCATCAATAAAATTACTCTTTCAATATTTTCTTCGTGGATTCAAAGTTCTTCGTGGATTCAAAGTTCTTCGTGGATTAGAAGATCATTCTTTGTGGATTCCGAGAACACCCTTGGTGGATTCCGAGGTTATCACTTTCGCGCTGCGTCAATTGGTATCAGAGCTTTGTTCCTCTAATCCGATGGCAGGTGATGAAGCCCCTTTTTCTCGAACTGAGTTCGACGTGCTGAAGATCGATGTTAATCAGATGAAGACTAACATAGAACGACTTGCGTCGACAGTGGAGCGTTTGAACACAAGAGGAGTTCGAAATCGTGTTGATGATCACCAACGACGTGATCCGACTACACATGATGAATTCAATAGTGATGACTATGAAGCCTCACACCACGGTTATGATCGCAGAGACCTGACAGGACAATTATGACACTAGAAGATTTAAAATACCATCCTTTAATGGAAAGCTTCATACTGATGATTTTCCTGATTGGATTGATAAAGTGGATAAGCATTTTGAGTATAAGATAATCCCAGAAGATTAGAAAGTTAAATTAGTGGTCTACAGGCTTAAAGAAAAAGCATCTGCATGGTGGGCTGAAGTACTGATAAATCGACACCATCAAGGGAAGGATCCGATTCGAACATGGGTAAAGATGAGAGTTCAAACTCTATTAAGCCCCTATGGTTTCATCTGCGAATCTATTAAGCCCTCGTGGTTTTTTTCGACTCTATTAAGTCCCCGTGGTTTCATCTGCGAATCTATTAAGCCCTCGTGGTTTGTTTCGACTCTATTAAGCCCCATGGTTTCATCTACGAATCTATTAAGCCCCATTTGAAATTCAAAACACGGGGTTTAATAGATTCGCAGATGAAACCACATGGGCTTAATAGAGTCAAAAAAAAAGAACGATGGCTTAATAGATTCGCAGATAAAACCACATAGGCTTAATAGAGCCAAAAAAAACCACGGGGGCTTAATAGATTCGCAGATGAAACCACGAGGGCTTAATAGAGTAGAAAAAAACCACGAGGGATTAATAGATTCGCAGATGAAACTATAGGGGCTTAATAGAGTAGAAATTATTGAGAGACCGTTTCTTACCTTCTAACTACAAGCAATGTCAGGTGTCTTTAAAAAATTCTTTTGGCTTAGCCGTTACGGTCCGTCTAGCGAAGGTGGAGCGAGAACTTGAGCAAAACGACATACGACCTTTATCATGGATGTTTTTAGAAAGTTATCAAACTAGTTATGATTATGAAAAAATTAAGAAACCTCAATTCATCTCTGAGAAAGAGTCTGGATTTGTGAAGAGCATCGAGGAAGCACCAATAAAGACTTCATTAATTATGTCAATCATAAAATCGAAGACATTTAAGACAGAGATTGCTAAGGAGAAGGCTTCTCTAGTGGCAAACAACAAGACGCTCACCTCCGGAAAAGAAGATTTTGCCACCATCAAGATTCATTCTGAGGTTCCTGATATTGATGATGATATGTTAATGAAGATGAATATTCTACATGATATCGTGAGTGATGTTACACATATTGATATTGTCCCGATGGAGGAGAATGATAAAATAGAGAGCGAGACAATTGATGGTATGTGTGCATTGCTTGGTGGAGAGCTTGAGATAAAGGAGATGAAAGAATTGTGTATGGAGTATGAGGAAGAAAATTATTTTTTGGAAGCAATAGTCATTAATAGTTTCAACAATGGTGAGATGATACCATCGACACTAGAATATGAGAAGCAACAAGAAAAATATTTGGAGGAGTTTTTCATGTCAACTACAGAGCCACATGCTGCCAGTTACATACACATATCATGAAAAAGATTCATACATAAGTTTGATACAAAAGAAGTCCTAGCAGAGGAGGTAAAAGAACAAATGGAGAAAATCAATACTAAATACAAGACGGATGCTGATCGTTGCAAAAGAAGAAAATTATTTATCAATAAAGCTACTATTCTAACAAATATAAGCTCGGGGTCAAGCTTCTTTCAATAAAGGGAGACTGATCACTGATGTAGGACGCTTAACGGACAATTTCATGGAGGATTCGGAGAATTACGAACTACACGTATTATTGACTTCCGTAAAGAAACAATCATATTTTTTAATCCGGAAGGCGAATTCTGACATATTATATATGTAAATCGCCTATCTCGACAAGACAGAGCCAACCAAATTGTAAAGTTTTTAAAATCTCATCAGTAACACCCTGTTTTGGCTAAAATCCGAAAATAATCAGCTTTTAGTTTATTTTTAGTAATAAAATTAGAGTCTATTTAGATTAGGAAATAAATACAATAATAGAGTCCAATTAGATCAGTAAACAAATTCAATTTTGATTCATGATTTGTTTCCTCTATTATAAGGAATCTTTTTAAGATAGAATTTAATATTTTTTATTTTTTTGTAATTCTAGTCTTACTAGGAGTCTTATTTATTTTTCTATTTAAGAAGAGTCATGTATAATTCTAGTCTTACTAGGAGTCTTATTTATTTTTCTATTTAAGAAGAGTCATGTAACCCCAAAGGATAATATCTTTTCATCAATAAAATTACTCTTTCATTTTTCTATTTAAGAAGAGTCATGTAACCCCAAAGGATAATATCTTTTCATCAATAAAATTACTCTTTCAATATTTTCTTCGTGGATTTGAAGTACTTCGTAGATTCGGAGATCGTTCTTTGTGGATTCAGAGAACACTCTTGGTGGATTCCGAGGATATCACTTCCGCGCTGCGTCAAATATACCACATAAGCTTTGACCTAATTCAATGGTTCTTGTTCTATCACAAATGAACTCATGGTTGATTTAAAGGAGAGAAACAAAATATACAGAAAAAGTTTAATTTTTCATAATGACAATGATGTTATACCTTCAAGTACATGAGGTTCAAGTCCCCCATCTCTTCATAAAGGAAAATTCTAGACGGAAAGGCAAATTGACGCAATTTTGTTAGATTTCCCCCAAAGAAAGTGCATAGTATTACAACTTACTTCATCAAAAATCTACTGAAACCTTAGGTTTAAGTTCTAAAAGTCCCTTTTTGGACCTTAAAACTCTATGCATACACCTCATAATTCATCACATGATTCCCAAATTAGCTTGCTGGCAAACAAAAACTCTCAAGGAAATAATTGGGAAAAGAGAGAATTAGAGCTCACGATGGCGTCCGTTGATCCGTCAACGGACCAAGCAGTGAGGTCCCCTTTCTGAATCTTGAGGTAGCTCGAAGGCGAGAGGTTGAATCGAACAACGTCGCCATTACTGCTCATGCTGGCCAAAACCCTAACCCTAGGCGGCGACGCTTTTCGGAAGAGTCGAGGGATTCGGGGCACGGAGGAAATGCTACGCATTTGAAACGCCAAAATTGTCGGTGTTCGATAATTGTCAAGCTAAATATTGTTATTATTATTATTATTATTATGAAAAATAGCTAAATAAATATTATTTATTACATCTCTGATCTACATTTGCATTACTATCACGTTTGATAGACGCCAAAAGTTGAAGTTATTTATTTTTATGTAGTTGCTTCTTTATAAAACAATCATAAATAAAACTAATACAATTACCACAAACAAATCATTTATGGATTCGGATCCTCTTCCCAAACAAATTGTATATAGTTACAATTTTAATAATTTTTTTTATAAATTATACAACATTACTTGCGGTTGCACCTTTATGCAAGTCAGTGGACCATGGAGATTGCATGCCGACTCAACATAAAGACTAATTTAATTAGTATAGACTAAGTTTGAAAATTTTGATGTTGCTAGATGTCTACCTGAAGTTGGTCCCTTTTCGGAGGAAAAAAAAAGAATTAAAGAAAATGTCAGATTATAGTTGTAATCCTTCTATACTTCGACCTTTTCCATTTGTCATAGAATAATCTCAAGTTCTTGATAAAATGACAAGACAATGTTTTAGGACCATAAAGTGCGAATTTTTGGGAATTTAAGACGCAATACAAGATTTGGTAATAAAAGCTCAAAACCCTGGAACCTACGGTCATGACCTGAAAAATAAATTTGATGGGACAAATCCGGGGCCCAATAGAGTAAGGTCCCGGTGAATTGTAGAGAAGAAGTATTGCTACAGTAATATTGCGTTTGGTGGGTAGATGATTGTTGTGGCTACAGTAACTTTTCATCGGGATTGAACGTCAAGTTTGAAAATTCAAACAAGTCTTACCGTGTTAAAAGAGGAGTAGTACGAGTTGAACTATAAAGATCTCGATATCATCAAATTGTGCTTGCCATGACAAGTTTCTGTAAAAAAAAAAATTTTATGGACAGCATGATTCATATCAACTGGTATGTATGCTGTGCAGCACACTTAACTTCATCCCCGTACACTTTAATTCATACCGCAAAGTTAACAGTACAAACAAAAGACTACACCCGCGCTACCCTTTACAATACTAAGCCTTTAGCCTCTGTTTAGTTAGCCAGGCAACCAATCTAATTAAACTTTGATTAAAACCCAATACATCAACTTTCTTCACTATAGCCCCCTAATTAATTACTATTAAACCCCATCAAGGCCTTAGCGGGTGCGAACAAAAGCTACCTCAGCATTCCTCCGGCCAAAACCTCAACCCAACCCAGCCCCAACTAAAACTGAACTCCTTCAAAAGTCTGACCAAAATGCCAGCCTGCGGGCACGGCATTGTAGCTGGTGACGGTGCGGCCGTCGCTGGTGGTCACCTGGAACGAGAGGCTCTGGCCGGTGAGGTACGCGTTGCTCTGCCAGTTCTGGCCCCAGTTACGGGACATCGCTTGCCAGCCTGTCTTTGATCCCTTGATCGAGACCGAGTGCACGTCGCCGGCGCCGCCGACGTTGCTGATGAGGACCAGGTTGAAGTAGTCGTGGCCGTTGATGGTGAACCTGATTCCTCCCTTCTTGACACAGGGCACCCTGCATATTAGAATTGAAGCCCATTAGAAACCATGTTATTTAAGGTCATTAGGCCTAATTTAGTCCTAATTGGAGAGAGGAAATTGGCATTGAGACATAAATTTAGTTGCGTGCATAATAACCAAAAAGAACCCCAATTCAGTCATTTCCCTTTGCAAGCAATGTACTAGGGCGCTTTGGTAACAAAAGTTTGAAATTATAGATTATTCTATTCTATTTGGTGTTCTGATAGAATTTATATATCTATTCCTTGATAATAATGGGAGGACCCAAGAATCACTATTCATACTACAATAAATGATACAATAATTTATTATAGTCTTTTCTAAGAAATATTACTGTAGCATAAGCGGTACTGTAGCGTTACCCTAAAATTACTGTAGCATTTTAAATTACTGTACCAGAATGTGATACTGTAACATTTTAAAATATCACCGTAGCATTTTAAAATAAAAATTGTAGCAATTAAAATGAGATTGTTGTAGCAATAAAAAAAAGGAAAGTCCGTGCATCGCACGAGGCGCACACTAGTTACTTTACAAGACAATAGGAATCTATCAGAACCATCCTTACACCCTATGGGATATTCTAATAGAATCTTTGCTCTTTGCCCCAAAGTGGGGTGTTTTGCGGGGCAAAAGAAAGTTCAAACCCCCAAAAGTTTTGGCGGTTGTGAAAGTAACCATTGGCAAATTTTACCTGCGGAATGAGACAGGGACAATTCCGGCACGGTACTGAGCAATCTGAAGGAAGGCAGCGCTCGTCTTTAAGTCTATATATATATAGGTATCTATCTTGTTTGTGTGGATGAGGGCGAAGTTGGGAGGGCCAAAGTTGGTGGCTGTGACGATGATGGAGCCCGAGGCAGGCACCATCTGGGTCATCGTATGCAGCCTATCCTCTTAGCACGAGGCCACAACTGAGGCCGTTGTTGAACATCGCCGTGCTCAGGGCGGCGGTGTTTGTGCCGTAGCCTTGGCTGTAGAGGTTGCCGTACCCACAAGCTCCTCCTGTAGACATTGAAGATTATCACACTTTAGCTTTTAGTGAATTGAGGAGCAATTTGCAAGGTCCCCTAGGATGCGAGAGACGTATAAGCAATTTCAAAGATTTGAGGGACTAGAATGAAATTATTAAAGATTCGAGGACTATTATGTAGAAAAACATACTTGCAAAGGTTAAAGTGAAAAGTTGACGCCCTAAAGTTACTTGATGAGGTAGAAAGTTCAAAGAGACCTGATTGTAAAAGTAAACCGTAAAGTTTGAACTTTAAAACTTGACCTGACCACACAGAGTTGCTTTATTTATTAAGTTAGGTGGTAATTAAGCTCACAGAGGTTCAATTAAGCAAGTTAGGTACATACTAATGGACTTGGGTTTATCTATCCATTGCAAAAATGTACCAGGGTTGTACTTCTTCTATCATGTCTACCAATGTTTAGACATTCTTGACTTCAAATCTACTACTTATCATATTCTTGTGATTTATATGCAATACATACACAACGAAATGTGAAATAATAGATAATTGTGATTGAAGACGCTGCATTTTGACGATAAGAAAGATCAAACTTAATCAAAATAGACACTAGTACTCACTACTCACCCATTGTGCCGGAGGCATCACCGCCGCCATAAAATGTGGCATGGGCGGCTTCCCATCCTTGGGCAATGGTTTCCGACACAAAGAAGCAGAACAGAGTTAAGAAGAAGAAGAGGGATTTGGGTAGAGAACACACTGAAGCAGCCATTGAGAAAGAAGCGAAAGCTTAGAGAAATTTGTGTTTGCTTGATGAAATGCTGAGGCTTAGTGAAGATAAAGGGTATCCCTGTGTGGGTATTTATAGACTTTGGGAGAGTGAGAGTTCCTTGTATATTTTTTCTTTTAGTTTCTTATGTGTAAAGAGAAAAGATGGTTGGTCTCACGTTTGGAGCTAAAAACAGATTTGCAGTAAATGAATACAAACTGAGTGCACATGCATTTGTTCTAGTTGGAGTCCCCAACTGCTTTGCTTCCCCCCTTTGTGGGCTCCACCCACGTGCACTTCTCTTTCTCTCTCTTAATCTAAAATCTAATCTAATCTCCACCGAAAAACATATGTCCATGAAAATTGGATCAATTTGCGGATTGATAGGAGAAGATTCTGTATAAATATGCAACGAAAGTCTACGCAAGATACGTGTGCGTATAAATAATTGACAATCTTAATAGAAATCATTGAGCAATGGAGATAATTGGGACAAGTTTGATATCAGTGTGTTTTCGATGACAGGTGGCATAGAAAATTTGCAAAATAGTCCGTTTTTGCTAATTATTTAGCAAAACAGACCGTTTTGCTAAATAATTAGCAAAATAGACCTCTTTTAAAAAAAGATCGATTTTGAAAAACAAGACTCAGAAAACATACGGGACTACTAGTCCCGTATGTTTAGAGCCAACTTAAGACTCAGAAAACATACGGGACTACTAGTCCCGTATGTTTAGAGCCAACTTAATCACAGATTAGTGACTCAGAAAACATACACATACGGGACTACTAGTCCCGTATGTTTAGAGCCAACTTAATCACAGATTAGTGACTCAGAAAACATATGGGACTAGTAGTCCCGTATGTTTTCTGAGCTCATCTCAATGTTTTGTGAAATTTTCTGAGTTCACTAATCCGTACGGGACTACTAGTCCCGTATGTTTTCTGAGCTGTTTTGCAAAATAGACCTCTTTTTGGCCTGTTGACAAAAAAGAGATCTATTTTACTAATTATTTAGCAAAATGGTCAATAATTAGCAAAAACGGACCATTTTGCAAATTTTTCCATTTTTTTATCAATTTTATTACCAACCACTTTGTTATTACAAATTTTAGAACTAATCACTAAATCTAGATTAGTTTGATTGGTAATATTAACACTAGCCTATATGATGACTGCAAAATTTGCAGTAAAATCGAACTCTTGTATAGTTCACTTCATAGTGAATGGTACTTTGTGAAAAGTAAGTAGGTGTATAACTTTATAGTCTTTATTCACTCTTTGATGTACAAATGCGAACTAGGTAAAATTCTTGAGCTAATTTCTCTCATAGTATTCACTGAATGATTACATGCACAGTTTTCATGTGTCAAATAATCATTCAAATTGTACACATATAATCAGTCAAATAATAAAAATACCAATCACGCCATAATGCCAAAAGATTGAATTCCTTAACAATAATTTTGATATGGTTACTTAATAATTGCTACTAACACTTATTAGTGCTCACTTCACTTTACCCAGAACCTACACTCAACCGTATCGAGAATTAATTGGTCCATCAATGGGTGGGTGATTTGCTGTTATGTGGCCAAGTCGTGGCAGTCAGCAGATGACGTGGCGTCATCCCATGGGATGGAGGGGGTAGTTTGGGTTCACATGAGTCAGCGCTCTCTTTTGCGGTTGGATGATGACGTGGAAGGTCGGCGAGTAACTT